TCTGACCGGGAGCCCTGTCGAGATTAAAGGGCCCGGAAAAGGAAATTGTGCTTTCCTGCTCAGTGAGCACATGGTGCTGCCCAGAACTAGACTCAGACCTACCATGGAGACTGTCATGTGGAAAAGCATGGGCACTGACGGGAGGTGTCTGCTCTCTATAGTGGGAATCTTTATGGGATCCACACAGCACTCAACGAGTCTTTTCTCTCCACCTGCTTGTTGGCCGGAGTCAGCTTCTCTTGGAGCTCCTGTCTTCAACTCCAGAGAATAGCATTTATTTTACTAGAAGGAAAGCACAGACTGATTAGATAGAAGAAGGCCTAATTTAACTGTGTTGTGTAAGTGCACAAAGGTCAACATTTCCCATTCTGGCTTTGATGTGGGGTAGTAGCCTGGCCTGGGACAGACCACTCCAGTTTCCATCCAGTACTTTTGTGTCCTCCCCGCCATGCAGCATTCACCTTCTGAAGACCAGTCTATCCTTGCCATTCATGGGCGGGAGCAGAGCATGAGGCACAACAGATCCTGGTGTTACCAGGATCTTATGTGCTGGGAGCTGTGGTTTTTAGGAGGTGGCAGCGGGGATGTGTTTCCATGTAGAGTGCTTGCCCCAACACTTGAGGCCCTGGGTTTGATCCCCATCACCACAAAACATAAAGGGTATATATTTCAGCATTCCTCCCAGAAAGCAGCAGGAAAGTGTCCAGGGAGAAGCAGCTGACTTGTGCCCTTGTRGGAATGCCATGTCGGAGTGACCTGTAGTCCCAGTATGAAAGGTTTTGGCTTTTCGTTTTTCCAGCAACTAATGGGAAAGCCGGGAAGCCTCCCTGTGGGGCCATGAAGAGATCCATCGCCGACAGTGAAGAATCCGAAACCTACAAGTCCCTTTTCACAACTCACAGCTCTGCCAAACGCTCCAAGGAGGAGTCGGCACACTGGGTCACCCACACGTCCTACTGCTTCTGAAGCCCAGCTCAGGCTTCTTTCCCAGCCTAGGCTCCTCTGTGTGGTCCTGGGGACTGTGTTGTCTCTAGTGTACTGGGTTTAGATGGTGTCATAAAGTTGTCCTCACCAACCTTCAAGACTGTGGTCGCTCTTGCTGTGAGGGTCCTAGGGAGGGACGGGGGCTTGCAGAGTGTCTGGCAGCCTCTCCCCAGCCCGCATTCACACCTGCCTCTGCCTGCAGTGGGTGTGGCCCTTTCCACTTCCAGGCTTTGTAAGCTTGCAATAATGGAAGGCTCTTGTGCTTGGCTACTTATTTTGACTAAAATTTTATTGTTTTGCTGCTGACAGTCAATTAAGTAAGCAAGTGAAACAGCCTTAGGTGAATTCAAACACAGTCTGGCAGCAGGAGCCTTTGAAGGAAACCATTCCTCACTCCAGCCCTGGAAGAAGCCGGGGCCCTGCTATCTGGCATTAGGAGAGTCTTCTCTCATCATTTTGGACCTAGCAAAGATTAGTTGAGTTCCGAAAGCTTTGGTGCAGAATAAAGCACGCCTGCCTTTGCTCTCCCTGGTCTGTGCTTTCTTGCTGCTCTCCCTTCCCCTAGTGTTTTTGTGAGGCATTGGGGTCCCAGGAATTCCACTGTCCTTGCCCTCAGCAGAAGGTGAGAAGGTGTATCCCACCCTTCTGTGCTGTGTCGATATCTCACATCAGCATATCTCCACTCCCACGAGGATGTCAGTGCAGTGTCCGAGTTCCTGAGCTCAGTGCCATCTGTGGGTCCTCGACACCAGGAAGGCCCCAAGGTTCTCTTTGTTCTACTGTATCTGCAGCGCTGGGAATGGGGCCCAGAGCCTCCGCCCCGAGCTGTGCCCTTATCTGCCCCACAGTGATGGGAGGACTTGGCCCCAAGGAGCATATTTACACTGTTACCAGAGAAGCATTTTAATCAGGATTACATCATTTTCCAGCAACTAAAGGGAAAGGGAATTTTTATTGTGAACTTTTCTGGAATAAACATGAATTGGCCATTTTATTTCCTCGATTAGTATTATATACACCCCAGTTAAACTATCTTTCAGGGTTTTGTTTTAATTATTCTCATAAAAATTAGTTACTTTTAGCCGAGTGTGTTGGTGCACACCTGCAATCCCAGCGGCTCTGGAGGCTGAGACAGGATCGCAAGTTCATAGCCAGTCTCAGTAACAGTGAAGTGCTAAGCACCTCAATGAGATCCTGTCTCTAAATAAAATATAAAATAGGGCTGGGGATGCGGCTTAGTGGTCAAGTGCCCCTGAATTCAATCCCTGATACCAAAAGAAAAACAAAATTATATTTGGTTAAATTATTTTTTGTCACAATTTATTCTTCTCTATTTTAACTTATAAAGAAAACTTGATTGTCCTTTTAGTCAAATTCTACTCATTAACAGCTTTTGGCATCATGAGGTATTTTTTATTTTGATGGCCTTTTTAATTTTCCTAAGTTTGCTTTAACCTATCCGTTGTATTTGGCATTGTGTCCAGCTTTTGACTATGTCCAGTTTTTCCCAGTCCCAGTGACCTAGTCCCAGTGTCCTCTACTCAAACCTTGAGCATCTCAAAGCTTCCAGCCTGTGGCCTTCTAGCCAGTGTGGGAGCTACGTGGCCTGCCTTCCCCACTTGCCCAGGAGGTGTCCGTAGGTGTGTGTGTGGAGGGACTTTGGGGATTCCTTTCCAGCCTTGGGTGTTTAACAAAGGCGTCACTACCCCGAGGCCTGAGAGTGTGTGCCTGTGTAGAGCAAGGGCAGCTCCCTTTGCACCTCTTGTGAGGGGAGTGGGGGGTGGGCAGGCTGTCTGCATTCTGTGCCACTTCCATAGTGTCCAGTGTGACACCAGCTTGTACCAAGGCAGGTGAGCAAGGCAGTAACTAAGGTGATGTCCAGTAGCTGGTGTTGATCTTGGGCTCACCTGAACAGCGGAGCACTGGGTGGATATTTCAGCTCCTGGAAGGGGACACAGTGACCATCACCCACTCTGTGGGTACCACACCTGGACAGCAGTGCTCAGTGCACATGGTTCCTCCTGACCAGGTCACTCATCACGCTGCCTCTGATGAGTCCTTGCCACAGGAACAATCAGCAGAGGCTGGAAGCTTTCCCAGACAAGGACTCGTCAGGTTTTGACTTCTGGACCATAGAGGCTGCTCCTCCACCCGCTGGGGCCCAAGCCACCTTGCCAGTGCAGTGGCGAGGGGCTGGGGGCGAAGGGTTCTTCAGGGCAGCCTTTACTTCCCAGATGTAAAGTCGAATCTCACTCAGCCTCACAAACCTGTCATCACCTCTTGACCCGGAGGGACCTTCCCAGAGCTTCGTGCTTTTTCTTGGTCCTGTGCTATGGAAAAGCACCAAGCTTGTAAACACATTGTAGAAAAAAAGGGTTTGGGGGATTCCTATCATCAAATTCCCATGAAGATTTGCAAGTAATGAAAATCAGGAACAGAGCAGCTCTGTTGTGAGGGGTCGTTGGTATAAATGAAATCCACTGGCCCCAAAGGCAGCCTCACTTGACCACTACCAAGGCCTCAGTGTTGCTGGCATGCTTGGCACGGTTCAGGCCCTGTGCAGACACAGCACCCCCAGAGTACTCAGCAGCTGTACTCAGCAGCTGCAGCTGCTCCCAACAGGAGCCTTAGCACACTGACGGGGGTCAGTGGGGTAGGATGGTGTCATGCCAAGGCTGAGTCTTCAGACAAGTCACAGCACACTCCATGGCCCAAGGCTAGGAGCATTGTGGCCAGCTTCTTCTCAGATGGACATTCACAAGCCGCAGCGGTCAGATTGGACATTGCCTGCAGCATGAGGCCTATTTTCCTGCAGCCCTGGGACCTGCACCTCTCTACCTCTTGCACACACAGTCTCTGCAGGAGACCCCACCACTCCAGCTGACAGCGGTGCACGTGGAGAATCGGTGCAGCATGTGACACTGCTGTTTTCCCCTTGGGTTTTACAGGTGAGGCTTTGGGACCTCTGTGTTCTCCCCAGTGTGCAACGCAGTCAGCAGCACAGGAGGGTGCCCAGTGGACCCCCAATGACTTGGTGTTCAGTAGGAAGTCACTGTTYGGGAGTCAGCCTGTGAACTAGTTCCTTCCTTAGCATGATTGTGACATAGGTGACCAGGGGAACAAGTATAAGCCTTGTGCCCCCCTGACCAGCCTTCTTGTTCATTCATTTTTTAAAACTTGTGGTTTCAAACACTGGTCAGGGAGGTTTGGTTTATTCCAGGCTGTGTCCTTACGCTGGGGCCTTCACACAGGCCAAATGTCAGCCCCTCCCCATGTACCCAGCCAGCTCCTCAGCAGCATCTCTTGAGCTCTACCCACATCTTCGAGAAAGTCTTCCTGAATAATTGCATTAAGTTCCCCCTTCTGTTCTCTTAACAGTTCTCTGTTCTTGTCAAAATTTTACCAAGTCATACTCTGAATTCCCCCTGGGCAGGTCAGTCAGTCGTATGAAGCAACAGGGACTGGTGAGGACTGAGGAGAGAACACCAGCAGGGTCAGTTCCTGCCCTGCCAGAGCAGAGAGTGGGCCCATGAGAACAAGGCCCTGTGAGGCCAGAGCATCCATATTCAAAGGAAGCCTGAAACTTGGGGTTTTTAAGTGAAGCTGCTTCTACCACTTAAATGCTGGCCAATCTTTATTTCTGGAACAGTGGCCACAGATGAAATGCATCGGTGGCCCCTTGTGCGGCCTGTGGACAAACATCTTTCCCGCTGGACTCCAAGCTCCATGGGAACACAGTGTCTCTGTTCACCACAGTGTCAGAATCAAATAAAGCAGGATGATGATGGCCCCTCCCATTGAACACCAGAGTCAGAAAGAATGTCCTGGCAAGGAGGTGACTTCCCATCATGCCCTCTCACTGGAAATCCTCCCCTCCCCCCAGTTTCTTGAGGTCCTTCTCCAGCTACCACTGTGAGCCTCCTTGTCCCCAGCCTCAAGGCATCACAATGGCCAAGGCTGCCCTGGCTCAGGCCCTCTGTGACATCACCAGCGGCCAGCACTAGGTCCCCAGTCTCCCAGTTGCCAGGGCAGACAGACCCACCATGAGCAGCTTCCTCCACCACCTCTGCTCACCATGCGGACGCTGAGATGGTTCCTGTTCTTGCCTCTGTGCCTCTCCTGCGGCTACGCCTTTATGTTCTCTTCTCTGAGAGACAAAGCCAAAGAACCCCAGGGGAAGGTGCCTTGCGGAGGGCACTTCCGAATTAGACAGAATCTACCAGAGCACACCCAAGGCTGGCTTGGGAGCAAATGGCTCTGGCTTATTTTTGTTGTTTTGCTGTATGTAATACTGAAGTTTCGAGGAGATAGTGAGAAGAATAAGGTAAGAACAGCTCCACGGATTCCGTCTCAGAAACGGCGACAGAATCAGGCCTTGTGGTCCGTAGGGTCAGAACGGCTGAGCTCTCTAGAACTTGAATGGGGAGGAACTGCCTCGGATCCTGGGAAATTTGGCAGATTTGCTTCCTGACATTCTTAGTGAAGACAGTGGTCCCCAGAGCCACAGAGATTGGGACAGAACAGTTGATAACCTGTTTAATGGCTCATGATTTTTCCTGTGAATTTTTTCAAATTAAGGATAGATTGAGGAAATTACAGTATTTTTCAGGTAAAAAAATTATTCACGAAGCCAGACCTAACTTTCTCCTGATTTTTACAATTTTGCCATGTTCAATTTATTACAAATTCTGGAACTTGGTGGAAATGTTATTATCCCAAGTAAATTAAATAGAAGCCTGTTCTAAAGTTATAAAGATGTCAAGTAAGCTCTGGTCCCCAACAGCTCTCCAGTTGAAGGAGAGTGGCAGAGAAATATGGCGTATTCTCTCCTGGACACTCCCAGCACTTCATGATACTCTATCCAGACTGTCTAAAGCTGGAGTCAGGAGAGATGGGCCAGGAGGTAAAGCATTTCAGTTTKGGGGGTCTTATAGTCTCTGTGTAACTACTCAATTTAGTCATGAATAATATGCAAAAGAATGAGCACAGCTGTGTTTCAATAAAACTTTATAAAAACAGGTTGTGGGCCAGAGGTGGCCAATTTGCCATAGCCTAGACTAGAGCAGTACAAGGGACCTGTTCTCTTAGATGAGCCCAACTGTCAAAGCCGAGAAAATCAATGGAATTATTCACCCCAGATATCTTTCTTGACAGGAGCAGACTTCTACTGGCCTCCGAGGCTGCCAGTTTCGCTCTCCACTAAAGAAACATCAAAATACTTCCCCCAGCAAAGACTATGCATTCCATACCTTAACCCAACTTGAGATGGACCTTGTGAAGTTTGTGTCCAAGGTGCGGAATCTCAAAGTCACCATGGCAACTGGTGGTAACATCAAGCTGCAAAGCTCAGAGATGCCTACAGATCCACACAATAATATCACAATATATGAGATATGGGGAGAAGAAGAGTCTGAATGAATGGATTTGTGTGTCAAAATAGAGGGAAAATAATCAAGTGTTGACAGACAGTATCCAAACCGATTAAACTATTCTGGAGAAAGAATTCCTGCATGTGAGAACTTTATTTTCCTCTTTTTTTTTTTTTTTTTTTTTTTTTTTTTTGGTATGAGAATTGAATTTGGGGGCACTCGGCCACTGAGCCATATCTCCAGCCCTATTTTGTATTTTATTTAGAGATAGGGTCTCACTGATTTGCATAGTGCCTCACTTTTTACTGAGGCTGGCTTTGAACTCTCCATCCTCCTGCCTCAGCCTCCTGAGCAGCTGGGATTACAGGCGTGTGCCACTGTGCCCAGCTCTTTTTCTTTTTTTTTTTTAACTAAAAGAAAAAATGAGGTGAGGCCCATGTAGCCATGGCAGCAGTTGTTTTGGCTTTTCCACTTCCTCTGGACCGAGGGTGGTAGGAGGGCTGAGAGCTTTCTAGGAAGCGCTCACAGTGGGATGACAAAGCCTCAGGAATCTGGAGGAAGATGCTAACATCATTGTCGTAAAAATTCTTGTCTCTGTACTGTTAGAGCAACATAGAGAACCGATCCTTAATGATTTATAACATTGCAAAGGACAACTCTGTGGGTTTAAAATGAGAAAAACAATTCAGTCAAGAGGGAGGCCTTTTAAAATCATTTGCATCTCTTACCACCAGAAGTCCTCTTGTTTATTCCATCCCATAGATTACAGTTATTGTCTTTTTTTTCCTATCAAACTAACAATTACATATGCCTCTAGTTGGATTTTTAAAATGTAGAAGAAGCCAGGCATGGTTGCACATGTCTGTCATCCCAGCTAGTTGGGGAACCAAGGAAGGAGGATCACAAGTTTGAGACTAGCCTCAGCAACTTAGCAATTCCCTGGCTCAAAAAACCAAAAAGGACTGGGGGCATAGCTTAGTGGCAAAGCATTCCTAGGTTTAATCCCTAGTAACAACAACAAAAAAAAATTGTATTTTTTATGTCTTGAGATATAGATGAGTCAACCAAGGATTCCCAAATTAGTTGATATGGTCTTGATAATACTTAAAATATGGATGTCTTAGCATGTTCTTGTGGCCCACTCTCTTGCTTGTCTAGTCTGTTAATCTCGCCTACAGACTCCCTGCTCGTCCTCGTCTGGCTGCCAACTGTAGATGGGTTAGTCAACAGGCCTGTGCAGCCCGCAGAGGGTCAGCTCTGGTGTCCACCAGAACCCCAGTCTTGCCTCAGTCCACACAGTGTGCCTGACAGGGAAGCCGTGTGTCTCCATCACCCTCCTTCCCAACCACAGAAGTTGGTTTGCTGGCAGAATCCATCCTGCAGGACGACTTTCTCACTCTTCAGGAGGTAGACCTTGGGGAAGCTGCCTGTCTCTTCCTCTCAACAAGGTTATACTGWCTGAAAAGGATCCTTAAATGCTTTGGTCTTGGTCTTTTAGCTCTCAGGATGGGAGAAATGGAAGGAGCCAAGGTACGCCCTTTTGCCTTCTGTATTCTGTTTCCCAGCAAACTGGGGAATGTGAATTATTCTCACTGAAGAAATCCAGATAGGTTAAAAGGAGTGGGTAATCTTTGGTCTCAATATGGGGTAGGTTTTAGATTGTCTGCATTCAATCCATGTACACTTAGGAGCCTCTCAGGTCAAATCCAGCCCACAGCCAATAATAATGGTTTTTATATAATGTAAATGTTTGAGAAACATTGAAGGATGAATAGTGTTTCATGACATGAAAATTACATGGAATTCTTATTTCGATGTCCATAAATTTTTACTGGAACACAGCCAATTTATGGCAGCATTGAATGACTTCYGTAAGATCCAATATGGTCATCCAGCTGAGAAAGTTTACCAACTGCTCCTTTACAGGCTAAGTTTGTCAGTCCATGACTTATGCTGAGGTGACCCCAGTTGCACATACCTAGAGAAAGCCTCCCTTGAGTGTGGCTGGAGCTGTGGATGTGGTGGGATAGTAATTTTATGGTGGGGTTGAATCATGGAGGAGTCCCCAGCGGGCTGAGGAAGGGGCTGCTGCAGTGTGAGATCATGCATCCTTGGCAAAACCGAGAGGGTAACCTCTAGGACCTGAGAGGTCCCCAGTCAATACCTAGGAAGATGCTAGGCTCAGTGGTACACACCTGTAATCTTTGCAGCTCTGGAGGCTGTGATAGGAGGACCATGAGTTCAAGGCCAGAAGCAGCAACTTACCAAGACGCTGTCTCAAAATAGGGAGGAAGGGAAGGACAGAGGGAGAAAAGCAGGGTTCTCATCATACACTGAGAGGAGGCACGTTCCATCAGCAGCCAGTGCCTTGGAAGAGAACGAGCCTCAGGAGAGAGTGCAGCCATGGCCAGTACCTGGTTCCAGCCCAGTGAGAGCCAGAGCAGGAAGCCTTGTCAGGCCCTGACACACCCCTGACCCAGGAAATCAGGATGAAACTGTAGTTAATGGTAATTTGTTTGCATAGCAGCAGAAAGCGAATACAGCATGCTTCCCAACAAGATGTTTCTGATACCTCCTCACTTGGCACATTCACCTCCCCCACCTGGTCACTGGCCCTTGACCCAGGGAAACTGAGGAAACCTCAGCAAAGGTCAAGAASAACACCTGGTCCCCTGAAACCAGAGGTTGCAGACCATTGGCTCAGAGGCTAAAGCGTTCCTCACCCTACTGGGCTTGCTGGTGGGAGCAGTTCATTCTCTTTCTTTGGTAGAATTAGATGGGTAGGAAGTTGTGAAGGCAAAGGGCTCCCTGTGCCCTCTGCTCTCCACATCCAAAGTGTCCAAGCCAGGAAGTGGGCATAGGAGGGACATGTGAGAGCTTCATGCCCTCTTGTCCCCTTCTATCGTGTCACCACACCACGTTGCAGACACAGAGCGGAGTGTTGAGTGCACAGAGCTCTCCCTCTTGCCTGCACTTCCGGAGCCCACCCAGCTGCCCTGAGCCACGCCCACAGCCACTGTGTGTTCTCCACCAGTCCCCTTTTGTCATTTTGAGGCTGTGCACGTGGAATCAGAAAGCCTATAAATTTCTGAGATTTCTTTCACATAGCACAGTGCCTTAGACCTGCTAAGGTGTGACTGTGCCCTCCAACACTCATGTGACAGTTAATTCCATGGCGATGGCATTACRAGTTGGTGAAGCCTGCGGGCTCCCCCTGGTGCGGGGTCCAGGCTGCTGTGGGGTGGGTAAAGGGGGAGCAGCCCCTTTCCCTCCCCTGTGCTCTCTCTTCCATGCCCCCCACCCTGGGCTAGCGCAGCCCCTCGCCAATTGCCAGCACTGTACTCTTGGACCTCTGGTTCTAGGACCCTGAGCCAAATAGACTTCCACTGTGGGTTAGAACCCCCATGCGGGGTTGGGTCAGAGTACAGACATACTGATCCACCCCTTGGAGCTGACCCCTGGCTCTTGCTGTTCACTGCTAAGTGTGACCCACCTCAGGGCACTTGGGTTACTTCCAGATCCTGGCTCTTATGCACAGAGTTACTATGGAGAATTTGGGTGGGTTTTGTGTGGACACACATTTTGGTTTCTCTGGGACAAACACCCAGAAGTGCCCTTGCTGGGTCATGTGGCTGGTATTGTTCCAGTCCACAGTAGTGTTTTAAAACCCTTGAATTAGTAGTCAGTGTTTGACCATGAGATGTCATACTATGTTGTAGTATCTTCCCAGGAGGAAGAGGGACAGCAAACTGCCAAGTACCTATAATATGCAAGTAACTGTAGCGTAAGGCACCTCACCTCTGGCTCAAGCCCTCTTTGGTTTCCCAAGGTATTCAAAGCAGTGTCCAAAGCTACCTTCCAACCTAAGGGCCAGGCAGGTTCAGCTCCTCCCAGCTGAGACCAGTCTCCACCAGCTGCACCAGGCCAAGCTCATTTTGGCTTCAGGGCCTTTACCCTGGCTTCCCCTGCCCAGGATCCATTTTCCCTCCGGGTGTCACATTGCTGGCCCCTTGCTTGCTATGCTGATCTGTGCTCAGTGGTCATCTCCCTACCCCAGGGAGGCCTCTCCTGAACATACCTATAAAGGAGCCCCATCTCTCATCACATCAACCTACTTTATTTCCTTCCTATATAGCATCTATCACTGTGTAATTTCATTAGCCTGCTTCTGTATGATTTGCTGGTTTGTCTTGCGGTGCTGGGGATGGAACCAGGGCCTTGTGCATGCGAGRCAAAATCTCTACCGCAGAGCTACACCGCAGCCCTGTTACCCTGCTGCTTGTCTCTCCCCTTCCCCTCAGGCAGGGACTATAATGTGGTATTAGGAGCTCTGTGTTCATGAGGGCTCCATCCCTCCTCATGAACACAGAGCTCCTAATACCTGTGGAACCTCCAAAGTGGCAAGGGATGGCTTCTGGATGCCTCGGGTCCCAGAGGCTGCTCTCCAGGGGAATCGGCCACATCGGAGGCGTGAAGGCGGGCGGTCCTCACTGGCCAGCGCTGCAGTCACTTAGGCTCACATCCCCCAGAGGTGCTGCTGCTCTGCCCTGCCCCCACCCCAGCTCAGTCCTACACCCTTCCCGCTCCCGCCTCCTGAGTTGTGAATGAACTCCTCCACGCCAGGAGTCTTAGATTTAGCGGAAGCTGCACCCCTGGAGCCTCCCGCTCCCTCACTCCCACTCCTGTCCCCTTGTCCTTGCGCTGTCCTCTCCACTCCTTTCTGCACAGCGCCTGTGGGTGACCAGCCTCTGCTTTCTGCTCTCTCTTCCTGGATTCCTTTCTCAGCCACCTGCATGTTTTCTTGCCACTCCTCTCTGTGAAGGGTGGATGCCGTCAGTGCTCCTGTGGATGCTGGTTCCCTCCTCCACAGGACACCCCACAAACTACTTCATGCCGCCTCTCGGTGGGAGGGGTGGGCGGGGTGGGGATGTGCTGCCCCACTCCATCCTGCGCCCTGCCCCCATGGACGCAGGTGGTCTCCAGCAGTCTGCAGTAACAAGCTGTGTTGGGGTGCATGACCTCATGCGTGTGTCTTACCTGTGATTGAAGTTGGGTTACTGGGTGCAAAGGTCCCATGGGTGTGATTTTGTTAGGCATTGCCGAATTTCCCTTTAGAAGGAGT